AAAACAAAACCAAAGACAATATGCAATAGATAATAGTATCAAAGACAAAGATATGCTCTTTTATTTTAAACCATAACCTGGCAATGTTTCTTAGAAAAAAAAAAAAAGAAATCACTCTGAACTTTCGGCGTTCCACGTGTCGTTTTGATGAAGGTGCTCCGTCTTTTTTATAGAATTTTATATTTGTGTCTGGACTAAAAACGAAAGTATTATACTTTTTTATATTCCTTGTAATATAGTGAACACGTAGATATATAATTTGTGGTATAAAAAGTGAAAAGTAAATTGCCAAAAGTACTTCAAAATCTGGAAGGCCCATTTTGGCGGTTGGGTCATAAATGTGTTATTTTTCAAATTCTCATTTATTTTTAGTATAAAATGTAAGTAAAAATAGTTTTTTTACATATTTCAAATAACTTGACGTTGTATTTATTTCAAATTCACACATAATTATTTTTGAAATATTGTTCTAAATGTCACACAGATAAAATATTATTATTGTTTTTTTTTTTAATTTTTTAATATTTTAATATTTTGGTATGAGTAACGAATGGAAACATATAAAACATAAAAATTTACATATTTCCAAACATTTTCATATAAATTTCTCTAAAAACAAAAGTGTAGAATTCAAATTAGTAGTAATTTTGTCACTAAAATTGAAATATATACTACTACTATGCTATACAGGGTAATTTACGTATTTTATTACAATTTCTAGCAACAAAAAATAATTTTATTCGATAGTTTATACATTCAACAAGAATTCCTGTAAGTTTTATCCATAAATATTGTCTCAAAGTGAAAATATAGCAAAATTTGCAATATAGTAAAAAATTTTCTAACTTACAAATTTTCCCGCCATTAAGGTCCCGAGCGAACGGGATTATAACATGTCGCGCGCTGGCAGAGCTTACAGGGCTTTATATTATAATGCGGATTTTTTATATTTAAAATTTTAATAATAAAGCATTTCGTACGTCTCAGCCGAGGCGCAAATATTTTTCGGCCGCAAATTTATAAGACCGATTTGTTATTCAAACATAAACATGGTTTTTAATTAAATCTACCAATCATAATACGACACTCATTTTTATTGAACACTTCCTATTCAATTCACAAAGTACCTATTATATTTGTTTATATAAAAAAGTATATTTAAGTACAATCATAAAACTAAATGGAAACACAAAGTAGGAAAATGCATTGAGTTATAAAACACATAAATCAATGGGCAAATGTAAAAATACTGGAGGCAGCAGCCCTATCGCATGTTTACGTACCGCACGGCTGTAATATTTATTTCTAATGTCGCCTCTACACGTTGACCAATACAGTGGCGAATGTAGTGGCGAATATATTGGCCGAGAGTTGGTGACGGCGTCCACACGTTGGAAGGTCGTTCAGTTTACTTCGGTTCGGGCCAATGTGCGGACGAACGACGGATCCGTAGCGCAGTGGCTTAGCAATGAGTAGCTGTGCCGGGGGCCGCGGGTTTGAATCCCGCACGGAACAAGTATTTGTATATCCTACAAATAATTGTTTCGGGTCTGGATGTGTGTCCTTATGCAATTTATGTTTGTAAGTTGCCTCCGCGATACAGGAAAAATCCAAGTGTGGGGGGTAACGTTTTTATAAAATAATTATAAAAGAATAGTGAATATTAATGGGCTGTAAATAGATATACGATTAGCTTTATTTATTCTTTACATGCATCAGAAACTGGAATAAATACCATTAATTAGAACTAAACTTATTTTAAAGTTAAAGGAGTTATAATCGATAAGTCTATGTTTTAAAATTGGGTTTTGTTTTTAAAGTTTAGCTAAACATGTACTTGCTTTTCTATCAGACATTTGATGTATATAAAAAACACCTTATATTTTATTGGTAATTTAATTATTTTTTGAGAAAGACAAAAACAATAGCAATAAATATAATTAACACTGACTTAATAATAGGTACTAATTATAACTTAGAACATAAATGAAAAACTCATGATAAGGAAAGTGGCTCAGGACCATGCTTTAGGGCTTTCTTTGGAGGAGGATGTTCAGTAGTGGACTTGTGAAGAGCTGTAATGATGATGATGATTCGAAAACTTGCACGATTAAATTGACGCTTTTTTTATATAGGATAGGGTGACAAACGAGCACACAGTTCACCTGATGGTAAGTGGTTGCTGTGGCCCACAGACATCTACATCTATCCTCGATTACGAATTAAAATGCAGATGCGTTGTCACCCGTGAGGACTAAGATGAAATGCCTCGTTTCTTTAAAAAGTGTCTCTGGTTCTCTACAGTCACTATACGAAACACACAATCATTAAGCTACTATTTTACATTGATATTCTGTGAGAGCGTGGTCCTTCCCCGGTCGAATCGACCCATTCGTGCTAAAACTATACGTCTAATATAACTGCATGGTTCTACCACGTATAAACGACGTGCTTCATTTTTTTATCATTTTAAAATTGTTGTAATAATCTGATTGTAAATAAATGTTCATTATTTTTTTATAAATAGCTTATCGATTAAAACAAATGTTTAAAAATAATTGAATCGCGCTAATTAAAGTAAGTTGAAATTGGCACTAAAAGTCTGGTAATTGGGGCATCCACCCTACAAAGCTTGAATATAAAATTTAAATCAGACGCGTGTAATCACTCTGGGAGCTTGTAGCAAACTAAACGCGCGGCCAACGTGTGGACGCGGCGACCAAACTCTGCCAACAATCTTTGATCTTTTGTAAAAAACCGACACCTCACGGATCTCGCGCCAACTTGCGGGCCATCGTTCCAATACATACCAATGAAGCCCAAACACCCCGTCTACACGTTGGCCAATGCTATTGGCCACTACATTCGCCAACGTGTAGAGGCGCCGTAAGATACGGCCGAGTTACAATATACCGTGACGTAAGCGCATCGGTTGGTAGGTACTCAAATAATATTATGTTTGCGGCGAAATACGGAACGCGGCGACCAGCAACGCGGCCACCTTCTACCAACGCATACAGCGTAATGCCGCCCGCACTCTGCGCACGCCCCCTTTATCATAGAAGTCACACAATTTTTCGGAATTATTTCAATTAAAAGAGAAAAAACGAACTTAAAAATTTAAATAAAACGTGGAGAATATTGATTTTTTAATTATCTATCCATTAGTGTTATCCACAAATGATTAGAGCGTTGCGTTTAGCAACGGATGCATGTAATCAAGAATTTTAGTCATTTTTTTAAAAGTTGATTTTAAATGTATTTATAGCACATAAAAATAAATTACAACGTCTAATGTGATGATAAGATGTCTAACATTAATAATGTACTTTTAGATGTAGTTTATTTTTCATAACTAATGAGATAATAGAGTCTGAAAAACGCACTTTCGCAACATTTTGGTCAGGGATTCACCTTAAATCTGTAGGACGAATGAAACGACCCGCCCAGTCGAGCATTATGCATAATAATGATAATATCTTGATCCAATACGAAAATTTACTGTAAACATTCCGCTAAACGATATGGCAATGACAAGATGTTGTCAAGAAAACTTCGGTGAATAATTTTGTAGAATACGAGGTAAATATATCCCTTAAATTATATTATTAAAGATAAGGATTTCTCAACAATTTTGGAATACAACAGAATAGAATAAAATATTTTTATTTAAATACAGTTTATATCAGTTATTCTTTTATCGCTGGTTCGGAAAAATCTCTCCTGAGAAATCCCGTCAAGAAACCCAGCGAGATTTTGTTTTTATACAATATAATCACATTGTATAAAATCAAAATATCGCTTATTTAAGAAATAGCTTCGAAGCGATGACCTCATTCCCAGGGATTACAATCAATTATGTATTCATTTATATTATAATAACTCTTTTTATACTGTTTTGTTTATTAAAAAATTAGGTTTGGTAATGGAGAAACCTTGTATATCTTCTAGGACTTTGCTATAAAAGCGTATACATTGCCTCATGAATGAATTACTGACACTGTGGAGTTGAGTAACCGACATTGCTAGTATGTATTTATGAAGTTGTATTTGTTGAAGAAATTTTATCCATTTTTTATTTTTCGATATGTTCCAAACGTTTTCACAATGTTTATTTTTTTTTATTAAAACTATATGTGTTTTGTGAAAATTCGTTAATTAAATTCTCTAATATATATAACGTTTGTCAGTAATGTTAATCTTTAAGTCGTTATTACATATAAGGATATGGTTCGTTCCATATAAAGAATATTATTCCACACAAGGGTGGTCCCTTATTGAGAATAACGACTTAACTTTTTCAAACGCAAATCTCACGTACAGGCGGTATATTTTATTGACTTACGAATTCCGAACCAGCCCCGAAGATCGGAAATTATATTTAGGGTTTAGCAAAAGTGTAACTTCCGAGCGATAGAAAACATGCTGATTGATCTACTTAGTGGAACGTTATAAATCTTTCAGTTTTCACGTTTATAAACGTAATATTTATGTGATATACTTTACGCACATCATTTCAAATATTGCATTTTAAACAAACCACCGTCTCGGTTCCTTGAGAGTTTTCAACAATTCTTATATAGGAATAAAAATATTTCAAGGTATAGTCCACAAATACGCACTACAGTTGTAGCGTACTAAAATAATCAAAAACTCTCTCAGAAGCGAGAGGACGCTTGTGCTCGGCAGTAGGACGAATAGGCTGTAACTTAACTTTTATAAGTATGCAGCTGCAAGTACAAAAAACGACAGCGTGATTTATGCTTTGAGTGTTTTCGGTACGTTCAAGATGAGGTGTCGGTGTCGATGTGTGCGGTGACAATGAAGCCACTAGCCTATATCCTGCAGCTATAAGTATGTATTTAATTTTAATATATGTATATAAACATGAAATGACGTTTCATTGCAGAGTGTAGGCTATTATTAAACTTCTTAATGGTAATATATTCTATGACTTGATTTAAATGCACAACTCGTGGGCTAGCGTCAAGTGCACTTACATGCGATATGAGGGGGAGGTTCCACGCGGCTGCGAGCTTCGCCTCGGTCAGACACGTGCCGTCGGGGCCGAAGAACGCCACCACCCCGAGATCACGCATTTGCGTCATCACCCTGTATGAAAGACCTCGTTGTGAATAGAGATTTATAAATTAGTGAAATTCAACCTGGGAAAGGAATAAAATTATTTTACTTATTCTTATAAAATTATCCGGCGGATCCCTGGTAAAAAATATAAATAACCTTTTTTTGAAGTCTACTTAAAACCGAGACTTTTTTAAATTATGTTCCCTGAAATATTTACGACTCAAAAGAAACAAATGATTATATTAATACTACGCGGAACTCGTGACCCGAAATTCCAGAGCGAATATGAAAGTTAAATTTACACACTTAGTGTCAACATAAACGTTTTGGAGTTCTTTGTTTTTTTTTCACGCATAATATTAGCATTTGATCACAATTCTCATTTTTCATTACAGTATGTGTGTGATCAGGATAAAAATAGGGTTCTGCTAAGTAAATAATTTCAATTAATAAAGGTCAAGTATTACCTTTATTTTAGGGATCAAAAACAAAAATAAAACAATGCAGAATCTATACGTATATACTTATAATAAAAATGCAGATACCTGTAGGTACATTTTATACGTTTGTAACAAAGTGATTGAGAAGGTATAAAGATAAGTAATACATTTCTATCATTCTTTAAATTGTCTGTCTGTTGAACGTATATGACGTACGTATATGAACGTATCACGTCTAAGGTAGAACTTTTTTTTTCAAAAGAATCGCTAAGAAAATCATAAAGATTAAATAAAACTAGTTTTTACGGATTTTATTGCGTGTATTAACTTTTTTTATAATCGCGACGTTTCGAACACTTTACAGCACCCATGGTCACGGTATTATTAATCTGTGAGTAACCGCAGTTAACTATGACATCGGGACGTTGAACACCTCATTCCTCCCCTCTCCCCGTGACCAAAGACTTTGCATTTTGATTTTTAATCGGTGTAGGTGTTCATTTCACATTTTCAAAACTTTTAACTCACCGTAATGATAGAGAGTCCTTATCCAAAGGTAGTGGAGGCCGAGGTCGGCCGATATCGGCCGCGATAAAACGTAATCGCATACCAGGTAGCAGACTTGGCTCCCTGTTCACAGCTGCCACTGCAAGCGGGAGGGCACCTAGCACCGTCTGAAAATAAAAAAAATATATATTATTTTATGTAGTATTTATTTATGTGGCATTATTTAGATTTATGATAAACAAAGAACATTTATTTTATCAACTTTTTTATCCATATCATAACATAAAACAAATCCCTCCTGGAATTGCTCTCTATCTTATTTTATCACAATCGGTTAAGCCATAACGAAGATTAGATCGGACAGACAGACAGACAGATAGAAAAATAATGTATGTCTTAGTAGTATTGCTGTAGCCCCCTAATTTAAATAGAAGTTATTTATTTAAATATAACAGACATTACACTTCAATTTTGATTCAAATAGATGATTCAAACATCGCGACTAACAAAAATATTTTCTTCACAAAAATGTGAAGAGAACCAGCATAAAATAGATGCAAAACGATGTTGTGTTTCATAGGATGGTGATGGGAATCGGTGACCAAATTATCAGTAGCAAGTTATTTGATAGGACTATCAAGATGGACAATGCACCTAAAACTCTATAAATCTTGTTTATCTAATAAGGATACATTAATTCTCTGGACACAGGGTCGGCTGGGGCAAGTGGGACTATGACATTAGTGTGGCAGGCATCTATATCGCAGGAAGTAACAGAAATACAAATATTTCCGTTATAAAATCTAAAAAAAGCTTCTAGAAGGAAAAATATTAGTTTTTTCCTCTCAAAGATAATATATTTGGATCATATTCTTCATACGTATGTAATTATTGCGTTTAAAACTTGCAAAATACGCTTAGATTGGCAACTCGAAAAAAACAAACCTCAAATTATATAGTTTGAAAAAGTGCTTGGGGTGACTGCGACACTGCGCTAGACCAGGGTTGTCAACTTTTTTTATCCCCTAATTTTATATACTTAGTTTTCAGTCCAAAATTATTTAATAACTCTTTCACTAAATAATAAATATTTAAATGTATTTATACCATGATTGATGATATTCAAAATTCCTAGTATTAATTACTACTAGTAATAGTATTAGTATAATAATAACTTTGGTAATATTGACAGCTTCCAATTCTTTAGTAACTTGGGAATTCTTTAATGAAAGGAGACAATTTCTTTTTTTAAGCTATTGCATAGCTTCTATCGCGGGCCTTGAGCGTGAGGACCGAATCCAGAAATTTATTCCGCCGTAACGAAAAAACCTCACGCTCCCCACTCCGACGGGCACGGAGGTGTGGCTTGAAGGCCGTGCATCGTCTAACGTCGTTTCAGTTCGGCAGACTTCGGCACTCGGCAGACTTCGGCACGGTGTTTGTGTGCGTGCGACTAGACGTATGCGTGTACACTAGCTGCTAACTCAATGATAAAAATTCCTGAATAACCTACATGTATTGTAAGATATTAAAAATATTTTAAACAATATTAACTTTTCATTTATTCAATAATTATTTATGTAATCTAAGTATCCTGTTTACTCCAAAGAATACAGTTTTAATTTTTTTTATTGGATAGATTGGCAAACGAGCACACAGTCCATCTGATGGTAAGTGGTTGCTGCAGCCCATAGACATCTACATCTATCCTCGATTACAAATCAAAATGCAGATGCGTTGTCACCCGTGAGGACTAAGATGGAATGCCTCATTTCCAGTAAAAAGGGTCTTCGGTTCTCTACACTCACCATACGAAACACAGCAGCATTAAGACACTATTTCACACTGGTATTCTGTGAGAGCGTGTTCCTTCCTCGGTCAAGCCTGCCCATTAGTGCTACTAATATAACTGCAGCATGGATCTACCATGTATAAACTATATACACTTAACTACTCAAAATAGTCTCATATTTTGCTTGTAAGTGGACGAGACATTGTTATACTTAATAAGTTTAATTAGTTCTACGTAATGTCAAACATTAAACGTGAACTAATTTCTTTAAAAAATGTACAACAAGTTATATATATTTTAAAAAAATATATTGAAAAATATATCAATTGGATTTACCAGCGAGAAAATGAAATCATGTCGTGTTTACGCCATCTAGCGTATTTTTGGCATACCACCTTGAAAGTTAATCAATGTTTGTTCGATAAAATCATTTTACGTATAAAATGCAGTAGATGGCGATATAACAAATTATTATTTTACTTGTGTACTCCAAAGAATACAGTTTTAATTTATTACACTTAAATTCTCAAAATACTCCCATATTATGCTTGTAAGCGGACAAGACATTGTTATACTTAATAGGTATAATTAGTTCTACACAATGTCGAACACTAAATTTGAACTAATTTCTTTAAAAAATGTACAGTACCTACCTAATATCTAAGCATCTAAGTAATATTTTATATAAGTGACATATAAGTCTATTTCAATAGGATATAAATGCCTATATCCGTAAATGTGTATTATGCCATCCTTAAAATCCGATAACATAACAAGTTACATACAAGTATGTATCAATAGGATTTAGCCTGCAAGAAAATGAAATCGTGTCGTGTTTGCGCCATCTTGCGTATTTTGTGCGTACTACCTTGAAAGTTAATCAATGTTTGTTCGATAAAATCGTTTTACGTATAAAATGCAGTAGATGGCGCTATAACAAATTATTATTATACTTGTTTACTCCAAACAACACAGTTTTAATTTATTACACTTAACTTCTCAAAATATTACCATATTATGCTTGTAAGCGGACCAGACTTTGTTGTACTTAATAAGTTTAAGTAGTTCTACATAATGTCAAACATTAAAAGTGAACTAATTTCTTTAAAAAATGTACAACAAGTTATATATAATTATATATCAATTGAATTTAGCCACCGAGAGAATGAAACCATGTCGTGTTTACGCCATCTAGCGTATTTTTTGCACACCACCTTGAAAGTTAATCAATGTTTGTTCGATAAAATCATTTTACGTATAAAATGCAGTAGATGGCGATATAATGAATTATTATTTTACTGTTTACTCCAAAGAATACAGTTTTAATTTATTACACTTAACTTCTCAAAATAGTCTTATATTATGCTTGTAAGCGTACGAGACATTGTTATACTTAATAGGTTTAATTAGTTCTACACAATGTCCATTCTGTACTATTTCACTCTGGTATTTTATGAGAGCGTGGTCCTTCCTCGGTTGAGCCTGTCCATTAGCGCTACGACTATACTACTAATATAACAGGAGCATGGCTCTACCACATATAAAACTATATATACACTTAACTTCGCAAAATAGCATATTATGCTTGTAATCGGACGAGACATTGTTATACTTAATAGGTTTAATTAGTTCTACACAAGGTCAAATACTAAACTTGAATTAATTTCTTTAAAAAATGTACAGTATATACCTAAAAAAGTAATGTAACAAAAAATATTATATAGATGCGTAGATACATCTATATAATATTTTTTTGTTACATTACTTTTTATACACAAAAACAGTTCAAACTTAAAAACCTATCATAAAACGAAAAATTAATTGTTTACGTAATCTAAGTATCCTCAAAATCTCATAATATAAGAAGTGATATATAAGTATATATCAATAGAATTTAGCCTGCGAGAAAATGAAATAGAACATTAAATTAAATCGTTTCCTGTTAATGCTGTCTAGCATATTTTATGCGTACTACCTTGAGAGTTAATCAATGTTTTTTTCGATAAAATCATTTTACGTATAAAATGCAGTAGATGGCGCTATAACAATTATTTTACTTGTTTACTCCAGAGAATACAGTTTTAATTTATTACAATTAACTTCTCAATATATTACCATATTATGCTTGTAAGCGGACCAGACATTGTTATACTTAATAAGTTTAAGTAGTTCTACATAATGTCAAACATTAAACGTGAACTAATTTCTTTAAAAAAATTTACAGTTCTTACCTAATATCTACGCATCTATATAATATTTTATGTTACATTACCTTATATACACAAAAACAGTTCAAACTTAAAAAACTATCATAAAATGGAAAAATTATTATTTATGTAATCTAAGTATCCTTAACCCTTAACCACCTAGCGTCGGTCACAGTAACTCCAGGCGATATATTTTTAAGCTATTGCATAGCTTCTATCGCGGGCCTTGAGCGCGGGGACCGAATCCAGAAATTCCGTAACGAAAAAAAACCTCACGCTCCCCACTCCGACGGGCACGGAGGTGTGGCGTTGAAAGCCGTGCATCGTCTAACGTCGTTTCGGTTCGGCAGACTTCGACACGGTGTTTGTGTGCGTGTACACTAGCTGCTAACTCAATGATAAAAATTCCTGAATAACCTACATGTATTGTAAGGTATTAAAAAAAAATATTTTAAACAATATTAACTTCTCGTTTATTCAATAAGAGAAAAAAATTGTTTTCTTATCGGTCACCACGCTCAAAAAGTGTAACTTGATTTAACTGCATAAATAAAATAAATAAATAATTATAATTGCATAAGTTGATAAAAAATGCTATGCAATAGCTTTAACGCGGCAGTCACCGAGTGCCACACGTATTTTGTTTGGAGAATGGGCCCACCATGATTTGTGGCGCAACTTAATCAAATGCACGTCGACTTATTTTCTATAGTCTATAGATTACAATAGTGATATTAGTTTTACCGCATCTAACGGAATACTAAGAGATGAAGAATTAAAATACAAATATCACAATAACCTGAAACAAACTAAAAGCGATTGTCTAGTAGTTTTTACCAGTATTATATGTTAAAGTAGTGCACTGTTCAATAAAGTGTAGGTAATTCAGCATTTATAGGTACTTTAAGATTGTTTGAAAATCCTTTTAGTAATTCCGGAAAAACATAGTGAACAGACAAACAAATGTGTTGTAGTAATTATTTTTATATTGTTGCGCGAATAAGTAGACGGCATGTATCCGGCACTAGCGCCATCTAGTTTCAGGGACGAGAGCGAGGGGAGCTTTCCAGAAAATGACATCACTAATCTTTCAACCGACAGCTAGAAGTCGATACTCGAACTCTCGGCCCCTTGCGCGTGTTTACTTAAATATACTGGATGTTTCGGTGCTAATTTGTATTTATAGGCGCTGCAAGGTGCGATCGGGGAAGTATTGAATTTGGCGAGACAAGCGAAGCTTCGGAGCGAAATAAAGTGAATTAGTGTGATTAATTATTAGTCTTTAAGTTTTAATTAGTGTAAAGTGAATTAAAGAGTTAATTTTGGTAATTCTATCGGCAATTTTTATTGTCACAAACCTCAAGCTCGTAACAATATGTATTGATTGATTAGTGAGTATTAATCCCAAACACCATTATTGTAATTAAAGAAATATTATTGAAAACAAGGTTTAGTAGTATCTCTTTTTAGTAACAAATATATAATATACAAATACATAATATATATATATATATATATATATATATATATATATATATATATATATATATATATATATATATATATATATAAAGTAAGTAATTTTTTTTCAAAAATAGTTATTTCTTTATTATACAAACTGTAAAATGCTTCATTACACGCATGTTTAGCCTGAACACGAATATCAAAACCATTTTTTTTTTTCAGATTTCATGATTTCGGTTAGAATTTCATAAAATCTTTAGGCCGTTTACTGTAATACATTGGTATCTTTTTATATATATATATATATATGAATATATATATATATATATATATATATATATATATATATATATATATGTATAGTACCATTAAGTTACGTTAAAATTTGTAGTGGGCCCAAAAACTATTGTATCCTTTAAACGTCAAGTGTAGTAAACGAGAAAAGTAGCTAAATTATGTACCTAGTAAATGTGACAACTAATAAATCTACGAACTGAACATTCTATATTGTGTATTTTATAATCATAATAATTCTTTTACGGTAAACCTACCGTTTATAGGCGATAATAATATTCACTAACCTTTATCGTCCCTCAGGTGTCGTAAGAGGCCACAGAGAAACAAACCAGGAGATGGGCAGTATATAT